TATAATAAATAAATTATTGAAATAATTTTAATAACAAATTAAATATAAAATAATGTTTAAATATTTTCAACCTTTTTAATACTCCAGTGTTGATATTTCAGGGGACACCTTTTGAAATATCTTTTTCGTACTATACAGAATGATCTAATGATTTATTTTGGGTTGAATGAAGCACAAAAAGGTATTTTTTGTAAGCTTTTATCTCTATTAACCATTATGATGTTTGAGTGAGATATTATAGATCGGCTGCTACCGAGTAGAGGAGAGACCTACGTCCCACAAGGTCAACCAAGGCCCGGCCTCGGGGCAGCAGGATGTAGAGGGGCTGCAGGGGTGTGGAGTTCCTATCTCCCGATGCCGGGCACACGCAGTTCTGGGCGCCGGGCGGGTAGTTGTCTTCTACATTTAGCCCGGCTTTGGGCAAGCGGAGCTAAATGTACAGCGGGGAAGCCTGCGGGTCTGCCATGGGAGGTGGTGGCGGCAGGGGCGTCCCGAGGCTGGGTGACACCCGGAGCGGTAACCGAGTGTCACCCCGCGGAGACGTCACCGCGCATGTGCGCGATGACGTCATCGCTCACTTGCGGCAGCATTCTGATAGCTGCCGGCGGCCATCTTGGTGATGGACGCCGGCAGAGAGAGGAGGGGACAGTCACCCGGCGGGATAAGGTAAGCCGCCGGGTCCCCTCCTCTCTCCTGATACTGTCGGGCTCTCTGTCCATGACCGAGCGCCCGACTTGTCAGAGGGGGGTGACACCAAAATGACTGTGAGTCATTTAGGTGTCACCCCTCCAATGGTGTCACCCGGGTACCCCCCCAAAAAAACAGAGGATGAAGGTGGCAGAGCCGTGTATGAGAAAGGAGATGCTGGAAGGCTAAATCTTCTAAAAGTAGGTCTTTAAAGAAACAGTAAAAAGACCATTGAACCCGTTCCGTGGCCCCGAACCCGACCGCTTCTTCAGGATGGGTGTGAAAGATACTTTAAAGGAGAACTATGGGGTTAAGGCTTTTCCCCATAGTTCTCGTTAGGGTAACGGGAGGACACAAACTAGCGTCCTCCCGTCACCCTAAGCTCAGTATACCGCGATCTGTATACTGAGACGCCGCAGCCGGGGGCGGATCCCGACATCAAGATCCGCCCAGCTGCGTGAGTGACAGCTGGCTCTGCCTATCTAGAGCAGAGCCAGCTGTACCCGCCCCCTCCCCCGTCCATTCCGCCAGTCAGCGCTGGCGGATCGGAGCGGGGAGGGGGGAATCCAGCCCCTCCCCTGTCACGGCAGAGAGCTGTGACAGGATCGAGAAGTGAGCGAGCGCCGGTATGTGTTCGCTCACTTCCCGATCTACTGAGCCGACCTGCGACAGTCTCATTGTCACAGGTCGGCTAGAACTATGAGGTGAGTGAAAAGCACCCCCCTCCCCCCCTCATTCTCCTTTAAAATCAGAGGTATTTCCACATGACACTTTGCAAGGCACAGACTCATAGAGTATCCTTCATACAAACTCTGATCTAGTGGCCAAGTTCTGAGCCATGAAATGCGTCAATTATGTCTTTTCAATGTTTCTTTGATCAACAAATATCTCCTTTTAGAAAATTTTACCTTCAAGCATCTTCTTTTCTATACGGGTGTCAGGGTACCAGGGGTCTTACCACTCCTCTGGGTCGCCACGGGTTCTCCTTCCTGGCAGGACCCCTGGTGCCCATTACTGGTGTCAGGTGTGGGCCTCTCTGGGGGAAGGTTCCCAGCACACACCCTCTGCCTGTCTCTTGCCATTGGCTCCTGGATGGAGAAGCTTCCTGGTTACCTCGGCAACCAGGGGGTGGTCTTAGTTCCCCACTGGGTATAAAATCCCAGTCAGAGCCCTGGCTCATTGCTGAGATATTCTACCTATATGGCACATCACCTAGCCTCCTGCTGCTGCTATTTCCTAAACCCCTCGTCTGACTTCCTGTTGCTGACACTTTGGCCTGCCTTCCCGTTCTTGAACCTAGCTGCCTGCCTCGACCCGGACTGGACTTTGACTTCGCCTTTGGATTGCCCCTTTGTACCTCGCCTTCGGACTACGGCCCGTTCCTGCCAGTGGGTTCCGCTTCCCGGCCCAGGCCGGCGATTACCTCCTGACAATGGGGGCCTCTGTCAACTTCACCCTCTGCTTCTTCTGGGGCTCACTAGCTCCCTTGTCACCTCCCCCTATGCTCGCCTCCAGGTCTTCTCCAGAGCCTCAACCTTCTTCTGGAACTCTCTACCACAACCTATCCGCCTATCTCCTACTCTGTCCACCTTTAGCTGATCCCTGAAAACTCATCTCTTCGGGGAAGCCTGTCCCACCTCTACCTAACCCCTGAACTTTTACTTTCTCCATCATTTCATCCCTCGTAAAATAAATGCCTTTTGTATCACTTGCACAATGCAGAAGGTCAAAGAGGAGGAGCAGAGTCCTCCTTGACCTTCTGCATTGAATCATATTGTAGCTGTACTTATCTTTGAAAGTGCTGCGTATACTGTTGGCGTATACCGTTGGCGCTATATAAACCCTGTGCCGGCCTGATGTCTCAGGGGAGGGTCTTAGGAGGGGTAGATGGGTCCCATCCCAGAAGGGGGAGAAGCGTGGGCCAGCGCCATGTGGTTCCTAAGAAGGCTGTCGCGAGGTCCCCAGCAAAGCGCAGGACCTCAGGCAGCCGCTTAATTTGCATAAATTAAAGCGCCGGTACCGGTTTCGTTTATCGGAGCGTTTGCATGAGTATTGGTACCGATGCTGGTATCAATATTGGTGCACCACTACCATTTACAAATCATTTGACAGAACCTGTAATGGGGAAACTACAAGTCCCACATCCCAGCGGAGTCTTGTAATACTCAATGGAACACAACGGACGTCACTGCACTTGTAGTCCATTCGTACCTCCTCCCATCCTTGTTACTGAAAGTCTGTACAGACAGGGATTTTGCGGAAGAGTCTGCAGGAGTCAGAGCATTGCACCCGCCATCCACTCATCACAGCTGCAATGCTTTACTGGCATTTTTTTTTTTTTAACGAACATTTGTGCATTTATAATTTTTTTAAGGTGGAATTTACTTTTTAAGGTAGCCCGAACCATTTTGAATGGGCTACCTTCAATGCACAAAAAAAATCAGATGTGCACCTTTAGGGCTTGTTCGCACCAAATGCAGACCAGATCTGCAAGAGTTCCTGCACACGCAGTGCAGTGGGTTGTGCCGCGTTTTTGTGCAGGCCGTTTTTGATGCGTTTGCATGCGTACCAGAGCAGGTAAAATAGGGCTCGCTGCCATTTTTTTTTTACATGCTCTGGAACTGGACGCTGCGGTGTGAACTAGAGCCCTAAAATACCATTGGAATACATTGGACGCCGTTTTGATCCGGTCTGTAGCTGCTCTGCTCCTGGTACGTGCTTGGTGAGAACAAGGCCTTAACGGTGCATCAGAGCGCCATTCCAAGTGAACCGCGGTGCACTCGTTACAGATCGCTGTAACACACCGGTGTAATAGATTTCTCTATACTGAATGTGAAAGCCTGCAAGCTACAGACACAATGTATGCTGCGCACGAAAATCAGAATACTACAACTATGATCAGAAACTCTCCGTGTGACAGGTACATGGCCGAGACTGTACACAAGAGCAAAGTGCGGGTGAGCGGGCATCAGTGTGCAGCGGGCATCCGATGTCCGTGCACACATGCCAGGAGCGGGTGATTTATTAAATGTGTGCTTGTGGAAGGATGCTGCCAGTAAGAGATTGGCACAAGAGAGTCAGACACTGCTAATTCCCAGAGGGTGGGGGGCAGGGATGGATTGCGGAGGGGGTCCTTGGCATAGAAAAAAATCCCCCCCTCCTCCCCCGTTCGCCGCTAATGCTACTTGTCCACAAAACTAGCGAGAAAGCAGAAGTGCCATCTGCAAACTGCGATTCATAAACACTTTGTCAGTGTGCCATGCTCCCTGACATCATAAAA